CATTGCCTCTGATGTTTGGTCACTAACAGATGGGTGTCCGCATGTGTCCACGTGCGTGCTGTCTGACTGAAATCTGAAATCAGTGCCCAAGTTAGCCTCACCCTGTGACCTCTCGCCCCGCCTGAACAGAGCGGGGCCCACCCAGTTCAGTGTTTCTGGGGAGCTGGACGGTGGAGTGCAAAAGGCTTGCAGAACTCGAAGCCTGCTCCTTCCCTTGCTACCAAGGCCTCCTTTTCCGTTTGATTTGTCACTGCTTCAATCAATAACAGCCACTCCAGAGTCAGTAGTTGATGAATATATGACCAAATATCACCAGGACTGTTACTCAATGTGTGCCGAGCCCGTTCCTCGCACTGGGCTCCCGTGTACCCGGACACTGTAACGTGTGCTGTGTTTGCTCTCCTCCCTCCTTCCTCGCCCTCCCCTTGTCGTTCTGGGGGTTTTCTGTTTGGGTTTGGTTTGGTTTTTATTTCTCCTTTTGTGTTCCAAACATTGAGGTTCTCTCTACTGGTCCTCTTAACTGTGGTGTTGAGGCTTATATTTGTGTAATTTTTGGTGGGTGAAAGGAACTTTGCTAAGTAAATCTCTTCTGTGTTTGAACTGGTCTGTATTGTAACCATGTTTAAAGTAATTGTTCCAGAGACAAATGCTTCTAGACACCTTTTCTTTACAAACAAAAGAATTCGGAGGGAGGGGATGGTGACCAAGATGAGAGGGGCTGTCCTTTTTCCCCAGGAGGGGAGATCTGAAGATGACCCCTGCCCCAATCAGCCCAAAGCCACCAGAAGAAGTGAAGCCCAAGCCGACGGACCGAATAGCTGATGTGTTAACATTTTCAAAGTCAGAGCAAAACCAGGTTTTGTTCCACCTTGTGGATTCTTTTGCCTTTTTTTCACCCCTGCGATGATTAGCATCATCGCTATTTTTAAGGACTCACAAGGTTGAGGTTCCTGCAAGGGGAGCCAGGGCGGGGTGTGAGCAGAGCAGACCTCGCCTCCGTGGGAGGAGGATGGAGTGGGCCTGAGCCGTGTGGCTCAAAGGGTGGGCATCTCCCTGGAGGCCTCCACTGTGGCCACAGGTCAGGTATATGTTGACAGGGCAGATTGGCCACTCTCCACCTGACACAGCTCTTCCTGGACAGGACAGGTGGTGGGCATTACGGTCTAGGACACCTCCATCACATCCCACCCTGTCCACAGTGCACAACACTCATGTGACCTCTTGATCCCACCATCAGGGCAGTAAGATAACGGTGGAGGAGGTGCGCTCTCTTTGCTGTCATCTAATCCCCAGCAAAATTTGGATGTGAGAAAGCCCTTTCCCTTTCCATGCCAAAACCAGATCCTTCTCAGAAAAGCTGTTACCCCCACCAGACATTGTTTTGGGCTCACGCAACAGGGACAAATGTGTGCTCCCTTAGTGCCCAGTGGCACCTCCTCTGAAAGGCGAGGACAGTGCTGACTGTAGTGACCATTTGTACATGGGGTTCAGTAGCAGAAAGACCCAGGCAGGGTGGCTGTCCCCTCCAGAGTCGCAGTGACAACAGGCCGCCCTGTGCAGAGGGAGCCGGCTCCAGCCCGGAAGCCCGGCTGACTGTGGGAGAGGTGTGCACGGGGCGCTGGGAGCCGCCCAGGACAGACTTGGCTGGAGATGTCTCGAAAAGCCCTCTATTGATCGCATTCACCTTCAGTTTTTGTGTTTTGGGACAATTACTTTAGAAAATAAGTAGGTCGTTTTAAAAACAAAAAATATTGATTGCTTTTTTGTAGTGTTCAAAAAAAGGTTCTTTGTGTATAGCCAAATGACTGAAAGCACTGATATATTTAAAAACAAAGGCAATTTATTAAGGAAATTTGTACCATTTCAGTAAACCTGTCTGAATGTACCTGTATACGTTTCAAAACACCCCCCACTGAATCCCTGTAACCTATTTATTATATAAAGAGTTTGCCTTATAAATTTACATAAAAATGTCCGTTTGTGTCTTTTGTTGTAAAATCAAGTGATTTTTTTCATAAGGTTCTTTTACTATTTGAAAAGATGGGCAGCACGCAGTTTTATTTTATTTTTGTAAGTTTTTTAATACGTGTGAAAGCAAAGAATACTCAGCATGCCTTTCTAAGTGATGCGTTTGCACCTTTTGTTGGGAAGTACTGTATCCTGTGCTGTTAGCATTCTTGATAAATCTCTCTGTGAAAGTGACTCAAGGTCTGGGCTTTCATTATCAGACAGCTCATAGGACAGCATGGTGGTGTGTTTCCTGATTCAGTCTGGCTGTCCCTAAACACAAATAGCCAGCCGCTTTCAGGACTGCTGTGCGAGGGAAGGGCAGCCTACTCCATGCACCACCTCCCCTTGGGTGCTCCAAGGCCACACTTTCCGGGCACACTGCTCCTGCGTGTGATGGAAAGTTCTGGGGCAGCAGGCCAGGAAGGGCCTGGCACGAGTCTGCCCGCCATGCCCTAGGTTGAGAGGGCAGGCAGGCTGCAGGCCTTCTGCACAGCAGCACAACCTCCCTGTTCCTGAGGGACATGGCAGGGGTGCCTACTCGGTCTGGATATGTCTGGATATGCCGAGGTGCTTTTGGAAACCACCACCACCACCACCACCCCCCCTGCCCCCCAGCTCCAGCTCCAGCTCCTCTTGTGCCTATCGCCCAAGACGCTCCTATGGCCTCTGCTGACCTGGCTCCCTCCCCAAAGGGGGCGCTATTGTCATTGTGGGGTTTGCAGGCCTTATCACACCCTGCCCACGCTCCCTGGCTTCCCGCAAGGCTCTGGGCTCTCAGGAGCTGCCTGTCCTGCCACAGCCATCCTCACCAGGCTGTTGCTGGGCTGGAGGGGGTGACAACTGCTCAGAGTCCAGCTTCACATGCAAATGTGGACACACCTACTAGAAGGTGCTCTTGAAAGTCCTGGCCTTGAACATTAAAACAAAGGGTTGAAATTCGACCTGTGTGTATTGAGCATCTCTTGTGTGTCAGGCCTGTCCCGGGAGCTGCAGTCCAGCAGTGAGCAAGTAGGACCAAGTCCCTGTTTTCTTGGAGCTTAGTATGTACATGCATGATAACTTCCCATACCCGGGTTGGTAGTCTCAGTAAGGGCTGTCCCTGCGATAAGCCACTGAGGCTTAGGGCATGGCTGGCCTCCTCTTTGGGAGTGGCCAGCAGTGGCTGTGACTTCTGGGAAGAGGCTCCAATGGAGGCCTGTCTTAGGCAGACCCAGTTTCCAGAAACTCCCCTAAGTCCCAGGGAGAACAGCTTAGGGGGGAGCCCTTTGGGGTCAGAATTGAGAGGGCAAGGGGGGGCCATCAGGGAAGGTGACCTGTTGCCCTGCAAGCATGCATCCAGCTGGAGAATCTACTTCTGGGGTCTTCCCCTGTGTAGTGGGGGAGGCAGGCAAGTGCAGAGGCTCAAGAAGGATGCATGAGAGATGCCAGAGGGGCCCAGGGAATTTTCACCCTGGCTTACACCTGGGGAGCTGTTTGAGCTCAACCTTGTCACATGAGGGCCAGGAAACTGCACGTGCAAACTCCTGGATGTGGGAGCGCTGGTGCATCTGTGGAACCCTAATGAGTTCTGGATGGCTTAAGGCTGCCGACGTGTGCAGAGAGCTAGACATGACATGGGTGGGCAGTGGCCAAATTCTGACGGCATGGAGTCTGCACTAAAGAGCTGGGAACCCACCGGAGGCCTTTGGGAACCACAGGAAGGTCTTGAGCAGGAAAGTCATGTGGCTTCATTTGTGCCTGAGGAAGACCACCCAGGCAGACAAGGCAGGGAAGCATCAGGAAGCCAGCAGTTTCATCCAGGTAAGTGGTAGTAGTGAGAGCAGCGGGCCTGTGGGGAAGAGATGGACTCCAGAGATGTTCAGGGAGATGACAGGCAAATAGTGGCTGCTGATGTGGGGCCGGGGAATGGAGGAGTGCCAGAAAATCTGAAGAAATCAATGGCTGCAGAGCACTGTGGGAATGGGCAAGAGAGAAATGGAGGAAGATGTGGAACAGGCTGGGAACTGAGTTTGGTGCCTGGTGACTGCTTCAGAAAAGAGGGAGGAAGAGGCCGGCCTCTGCTGTCCTCACAGGGTCCCGTGCAAACTGAGCCAGAAGTATCACAACAAGAGGGAGGAGGGACAGCAGGAGCTGAAGGCCCGTTTTTAAGAGATGAATACGTTTTATGTGCTAGTGGGAAGGAGCCAGCAAAGAAGGAAAAGTGACAGATACTGCAAAGAGCTAACAATTGCTGGAGCAGGTTCCTGAAGGAGAGGAAAAGATGAGATCCAGGGCTCAGGAGGTGGGCAGAAATCCTCTGAGCGGGGGTGGCCTGCTGTACAACCTTCCAGACCATTCTCCCCGCACCCAGCCTGACGGCCAGCTGACGGGAGTCGGCCGGGGGCCTTTGTGGGACCCACATCTGACCCCGTCCTGCCTGGCTCTCTGACGACTCTCCACTGCCTCCAAAAGAAAGCCAAAACTTCTTAAGGGGACCTCCCAGCGACTCTCACGAGGCCCGGCTCTAGCCCTTTCGGGAACGTCCCGTGCCTCGGCCGTGCCCTTTGTCCTCAGGGCTGGGAACGGCTTTCCTCCATCCCTCAGAGCCCCACTCGGACGGCCCTCCTCCTGGAAGCCCGCCCCGCCCGCCTCGCCGGGCCCAGCGGCGCTGCCTTCTCGGGGAGGGACAGCGCGCGGCGCCCCCGTGTGGCCGAGGCTCGCGGC